CGCCTCCAAGAATCCAAGACAGCCGACGACGCACTAAACGCTCTTCTTCAAGATGATACGAGGGGAACCCTCTGCGCCTTCAACAATATCAAGAGAGGGCTCGAATGGCACTTCCGAGAGCCGAGTTATCCCCAATACACCACCCCCGCCGGGCTCCGATATGAGTTTGACGCCTACCCGGAAATATATGCCTGGCAGCAACGTCACTTCTGCGAGCACCCCCCGCCCCCGGTCGACACCAACCCGGACGTTAACGCGGGAACAGCTTCGTCAGAGAGCCTCTCTATCCACTCAGGAGATAGTGGAAGCGTGGAATGGCCGTCTTCGGTCACGGAGGGGACCTCCATCGATTGCCTCTTCGGAGATGACTGGTCTGTCTCAAGGTACAGCCCTCTTCCCCCCCCCTTCGGGGTTAAACTAAAGGACGGACAGCATCGCGTTAGAAGCCTGGTCATCATCGGACCCAGCAAGTTGGGAAAAAGCCTGGTGGCCAGATCATTTGGAACGCACAACTACTTTCAGGGAGAATGGAACATTGAGCAGTTCAACCCCGATGCTACATACAACGTGTTCGACGACATCGAAAAGGGACTGGATGGGTTCAATTTCCGAGCCTTCCTTGGATGCCAGTCAGACGTAAACGTAGCAGACAAATACCACAAAAAAACGCAGATCAAAAACGGCAAGCCTTGCATCTACCTGCACAACATCGACCCTCTCGAGACCAAAACTGGGCAGAAGTTCGCCGAGTGGCTCACCGCAAATTGCACGTTCGTCTACGTATCTTCGCCAATCTGCAACTTTGCGAGACTCGCTCTGGAACAAGACATTGCCAATGTATGCAGGGTATAGAACATAGATAGCTCCCGTATCAGCCAATCATCTTCTCGTCTCTCATGGAGCCTCTAGCTCCGGTGTCTGGTGCCTCTAGCTCCTGCATGTGGTACCCCTAGCTCCGTTTCCGGGTGCCCCTAGCTCCAAATGTGGAGCCTCTGGTTCCGTGCTACAACCAATCGCCAACATACACGTCGTCACGCGGCGCTTCAGGCCCGGCCCCATGCATAAAGGAGCCTCTGGAGCCCCTGGTACATCTGGCTCCTTTGTGCAACTTTGTCCACTCATTCCTCACCCAAAAACGCTGCGGCACAGCCAGGACCTCTCCCAAATTGCATAAATAAGTAGGTCGAGGTGCCTCTAGCACACAATGTTAAAAAGGTCTTGTGCTAGAGGCTCCACCAAACCGCTCCGTCACGTGAAGAACTCTGACAAATGGACATGGACTTCGCAGACAATCTCTTCCTCGGTGAAGATTTCAGCATGGACGTGGATTCGTCCCACACCTGTAAGTTACCTCAACCCTAAGCACTGCAACCCTAGGAGGCCGACGAGCGGCCTCGACTGCAACTGTGAGGGTGATAGACAACTGACTGTTCTGTAGTTGACCGATCGGAGAGGGATGTTAATACTCCAACCGCATCCGAAGCGTCTCGGGATGTCGCACCCTTTGGGAACCAAAAATTCGTCGACACAAAGCGAAACAGCCAATATGTACTTCGCGCAAAATACATCCTCCTCACGTACTCACAAGTCGACGAGGATGTGTTCCACCCACAAGCAATCGTTAACTTGATTAACAATTGGGGCGGAAAATGCCGTATTGGCCGTGAGTTCCACCAGGATGGCGGCATTCATTACCATGCGTTTTGTATGAAAGACGCCCGTTTCATAACCCGCGACAAACGCAAATTCGACATCGCTGGTTTTCACCCCAACATCACCCCCGTCATGCGTACGCCCCACAGAGCATGGGCCTATGCTATCAAGGACGGTAATGTGATACACGACGACATCCCAGACGCCCCGGTCGGAAGGAGCGGAAAGGCCAAGAAACCCAGAAACGAAGTATGGACTCTCCGCCTCCAAGAATCCAAGACAGCCGACGACGCACTAAACGCTCTTCTTCAAGATGATACGAGGGGAACCCT